TACCCTCGTAGCACACCTGATGTAAGATACAACTAAAGCCCTTTACTTTTTTCTTTTTTTTGGGGTTTATCAAAAAAACCCTAACTTTATTTCTTCTTTGCTCTGTTTTTGTCAAAAAAAGGTTTTGTTTTGTTTTGGGATTTTTTAATTGTTAACAGTTTTTAGTGTTGATGTTGTTTTAGATGTGGGAAAGTTTGATTCAGAAGGCAAAAGATGGAGGAGTTGATGTGATTGAGACTTACGTCTTCTGGAATCTCCATGAGCCTTCTCCTGGAAAAGTATACTTCTTCTCTTATTTCAATTATGTTCCTCGTTTCTTCATTATGTTCTTTAAAATTTGATGGTTCCTTTTTCCATTCAGTACGATTTTGAGGGGAGGAATGATTTGGTGAGATTCGTGAAGACGATACACAAAGCTGGTTTATATGCTCATCTTCGAATCGGACCTTATGTCTGCGCCGAGTGGAATTTCGGGTAAGTACCAAAGTTCCTTTCTTGCCTCTTCAAATTCAGACGCCTCTAGATTTGGCTACACATGTGTTTCTACAGTTTTTGCATCTGGTTACTAAAGTTTTTGTTTTTTTGGCAATGACCAGAGGATTCCCTGTTTGGCTTAAGTATGTTCCTGGAATCAGTTTCAGAACAGATAATGAGCCTTTCAAGGTCTGTTATTTTCCACTTTGAGTTTCCATTATCCAATTATTCATCTTAAAGCATTTACCTTTATTAAGAAAGAAGCTTGAAACTTGTGTTATTAATTTTTTTTGGGATAACTGTTTACAGAGAGCTATGAAAGGATTCACTGAGAGAATTGTTGAGTTTACAGAGAGCTATGAAAGGATTCACTGAGAGAATTGTTGAGCTGATGAAGAGTGAGAACTTGTTTGAGTCCCAGGGTGGTCCCATTATCCTGTCTCAGGTAAATTGTTTTACAGATTAATACTCTGAGTTAACAGAATGGTCTCATCTTTTACTTGACTGTAGATTGAGAATGAATATGGAAGACAAGGGCAGTTACTGGGCGCTGAAGGTCACAACTACATGACGTGGGCAGCTAAAATGGCTATAGCAACTGAGACTGGTGTCCCGTGGGTCATGTGCAAAGAAGATGATGCCCCTGACCCTGTGGTGAGTTTCTTGATTGCATTAGCGTTGTAATAAGTTAGTCAGTGTTGGTTCGTAAATTGGTCTGGAGCGGGTGAATGTCTTTGACTTTGAACAATGAACTCAAACTCCATTGGTTTTGGTGACAGATAAACACATGCAACGGTTTCTACTGTGATTCATTTGCTCCGAACAAGCCATACAAGCCTTTAATATGGACTGAGGCATGGAGCGGCTGGTACAGATTCTCATTTGATTTCACTTTATATTTGTACATGGGTTTGTCATCTGCAAATTGGTAACCTTTTTATCCTGTAAATTGGAAATGCATTATCAGGTTCACTGAGTTCGGTGGGCCAATGCACCATAGACCAGTTCAGGATCTGGCGTTTGCTGTTGCACGTTTCATACAAAAAGGAGGATCTTTTGTTAACTACTACATGGTATGTTCACTATATAGCAACTTGGTTAATTGTCTAACACCTTACATACTGTAAAATTTGGTTATAACTGAGCATTTAAAAATTAAAAGATCCATTGACTTTTCTTGATAACAGTACCATGGAGGAACTAACTTCGGAAGAACAGCAGGAGGTCCATTTGTCACCTCCAGCTATGATTATGATGCTCCGATTGATGAATATGGTAAGGGCAGGACAAAAGTTCCTCACATTAATTGGAATATAAGGTAACTTGATGCCTTATGAACTAATTGAGTGGTGGTTAAATGTTAATTAGGTTTGATCAGACAACCTAAATATGGTCATTTGAAGGAGCTCCACAGAGCTATTAAGATGTGTGAAAAAGCTCTGGTTTCAGCTGATCCTGTTGTTACATCATTAGGAAACAAGCAACAGGTAATAATATGCATTTATCATGATAGATTTGTTTTGGGTGAAGTTGTAGAAATCTTTTATAGCTTTTACTAATTCATGTCCTTCTTCTTACTTAATTTTCCCAGGCTCATGTATACTCTTCAGAATCAGGAGATTGTTCAGCTTTCCTTGCAAACTATGATACAGAGTCGGCAACAAGAGTATTGTTTAACAACGTTCATTATAACTTACCTCCTTGGTCGATCAGTATTCTTCCTGACTGTAGAAATGCAGTCTTCAATACTGCAAAGGTAGTATATGAATTGTCTGACCTTTTGAAATTGTGGTTCCTCAAATTGTGTTCGTGGTTTTTCTTAAACTTGTGGATTTCCCTTCTTGGATTTCAGGTTGGAGTTCAAACCTCACAGATGGAAATGTTGCCAACAAGCACAAAGGATTTCCAGTGGCAGAGTTATTTGGAAGATCTTTCTTCTCTAGATGACAGCTCTACCTTCACTACTAATGGACTCTTGGAGCAGATAAATGTCACACGTGACACAAGCGATTATCTTTGGTACATGACCAGGTAATAATAACATATGTTACTTCATTAGACATAAACTTTCGATGGCTTCAATGTGATTTCCGGCACCTGCTAACAAACATCTGAAAATTTGTATGCAGTGTTGATATTGGCGGAACTGAATCATTCTTGCATGGAGGAGAGCTGCCAACTCTCATTGTTCAATCTACAGGTCACGCCGTGCATATATTTGTCAACGGACAGCTTTCGGGTATGGTTCTTCGGATCTTCCAATAGTTTGACCCAATTAAATTTCCATAGAGAGTTTCTGATATGCAAACTATTATATATGAATTGCAGGTTCTGCCTTCGGAACAAGGCAAAACAGGAGATTCACTTATCAGGGAAAGATCAATCTGCATTCTGGAACCAACAGAATTGCGTTGCTGAGTGTTGCTGTTGGATTACCGGTTAGTATTCTTCTTTCCACCAGCTTTCTAAGTTGTTTTTCATTTTTCTCTTATTCTGATCCTCTTTTTTCCGTTTATGAAGAATGTGGGTGGACACTTTGAGTCATGGAATACTGGAATCTTAGGTCCAGTGGCATTGCGCGGATTGAGTCAAGGGAAAAGGGATTTGTCATGGCAAAAATGGACATACCAGGTGTTTTATCCGTCTTGTTTCCATAAGATTTCTGTCTCTTAGTTTCCATTTTTTCCACGTTAAGTTGTTTAATTTGTTTTAATCAGGTCGGGCTGAAAGGTGAAGCTATGAATCTTGCATTTCCAACCAACACTCCCTCTTTTGAGTGGATGGATGCGTCCTTGACTGTACAGAAGCCTCAACCTTTGACATGGCACAAGGTTAGTTTGAATCAAATGCAACTCAAGCTGTTATTATAAACTGGAATCTGAACTAATGGAATTGATTGTTGTTTTGTTTCACAGACTTATTTTGATGCACCTGAAGGAAACGAGCCGCTTGCTTTGGACATGGAAGGAATGGGAAAAGGTCAGATTTGGGTGAATGGTGAGAGCATTGGAAGATACTGGACAGCATTTGCGACTGGTGACTGTAGTCATTGTAGCTACACCGGAACATATAAACCAAACAAATGCCAAACTGGCTGTGGTCAACCTACACAAAGATGGTATCATGTGCCGAGATCATGGTTAAAGCCGAGCCAAAATCTGTTGGTTATATTTGAGGAGCTTGGTGGAAACCCTTCATCTGTCTCTTTGGTTAAAAGATCAGTTTCCGGAGTTTGTGCTGAAGTTTCTGAATATCACCCGAATATCAAGAACTGGCAAATCGAAAGCTATGGAAAAGGACAGACATTTCATAGACCCAAGGTTCATTTGAAATGTAGTCCAGGTCAAGCAATTGCATCTATCAAATTTGCAAGCTTCGGAACTCCTTTAGGAACCTGCGGGAGTTACCAACAAGGAGAGTGTCATGCCACTACCTCATACGCTATCTTAGCAAGGGTAAAAGCTTGAATTTTACACATAAACTTGCCACCAGACTCTTTTTTTGTTCTTGTTGTTGTATATAACCAAGGTGCGTTTTCTTATATGCAGAAGTGTGTAGGGAAAGCGAGATGTGCAGTGACGATATCCAACAGCAATTTCGGGAAAGACCCGTGTCCGAATGTGCTGAAACGGTTGACGGTTGAAGCAGTTTGTGCCCCAGAGACATCTGTAACTACTTGGAGACCTTAAAGACAGCCATTGAGCCATTTGACTACAAAATGTATAACCAAACAATACAGAGAGAGGAAGAAAGAAAAATGTAAGCTGTGATAAAATGTGTGTGTGTGTGTGTGTTAGCTTGTTTAAACAGAGACTTTGTTGTGGTTTAGAGTAGGTTCAGTTAGGTAAGAGAGAAGAGTCTGTAGAGTTCTGATGAGTCTCGGGCAATTCCGGGTCTTGTCAAAAACATTCTGGCCACCGGTAACCACCGACCATTTTAACCGGTTATGGAGACCGGGATTATTAGGTCTGAATGAAGTCATGTTAAGGTTTGGTTTTGATTTGTCTTTGTAATCAACAAAAGAAGGTTCAGGTTTAGGAGTAAGGAGATCCTATTGTGAACCTACTTCTTTCAAACGTCTTGTCGTTTCACTTTTCTAATTTACTTCTATTTTTTTTCTCAACGAAATTTCTCCTTTTATCACTTTTTTATATCTACCAAAATATAAACTTGTTTCCTCCGTAAATTGTGATATTTATCAGTTCATACTTCATAATAATCGCTTGGAAATATAATTTTAATATTCATCAAGAATATTTCGATTTATAGAATTAGAGATTTTGATATGTATAACCAATGATGAGAGGTGATCCTATTGTCCATTGTTTTTTGAACAATGTTTATCAAAATCTTTAAACCTTTTCCTATTAGAATATTATTTAATAAATTCAACTTTATCTCTTCTTTTTAAAAAACCAAAAATCACCTTAATGAAGCTGTATAAATACACGTTACCATGCATTCATAATCAAAAACAAACAAACACAAAAACTCTTTGAGCTAGCAGCAACGATCATTGATCAAATATGAAGATGAACATTGTTATACTTGTTTTTGTGTTCCTAAACATTACCAACCTAATCAACGGTGGGATAACGAGCAAATATGTCCGTCAAGCTCAACCATCAACTGAGATGCCTCTAACAACTTTTCCATCTCCGGCTGGTCACAACTCTCCTGAACAGGTTTTGATTTCTAATTGATTATATTTTTCGATATAGATCATAAATTTGTGTTATGATCATCTATGTGTATTTGTATATTTTTATCGTATCTTGACTTTATATTGCGTTTTCAACAATATGTACATACTCGTTTAACAACAATATAGAGAGGCCTTACAGTTTTTTCAACTTATCTTTCCATCACATACGTTGTATCTCTTCTATTATTTTTTATTTTAAAATCTTTTTATTTTGTTAAATTCGACCCTGATGGTAACAAAACAATAAATTCAAATTGACTTTGTGTATCGTTGGCTAGGTTCATATCTCTCAAGGAGATTACAACGGACGTGGCATCATCATCTCGTGGGTAACACCGTTAAATCTAGCTGGTTCTAACGTTGTTACTTATTGGAAGACTGTTGATGGTGACGTGAAGCCGCAAAAGAAGAGAACTCATGCCTCCACATCGTCTTATAGATTCTATGACTATACTTCTGGCTTTCTTCATCACGCCACCATTAAAGGACTTGAGGTTTGTACTTTGTGTAACTTAACTTGTCAATTAAATAACAACATCACCTTTTTCTTGTAAAGGTTTTGATAAAGTCTCTTTCTTGTATACAGTATGATACCAAGTACATCTATGAAGTTGGCAGTGGTGAATCCGTTAGACAATTCTCCTTTACTAGTCCCCCTAAGGTCGGACCCGACGTCCCATACACATTCGGCATTATTGGTACTAATTTTTGTTTGACAATCTTTTACAAAACCAGATATAGTTAAGTACTAGTATTACCAAATTGGTCTAATACCTACATTGTGTCTGTAGGTGATCTTGGACAAACGTATGCTTCTAACGAGACATTGTCTCATTACATGTCAAACCCGAAAGGCCAAGCCGTTCTCTTTCCTGGAGACTTGTCTTACGCCGACGACCACCCAAACCATGACCAAAGAAAGTGGGATTCTTATGGAAGATTTGTGGAGCCTTGTGCCGCTTACCAACCCTTCATTTATGCTGCGGGCAATCACGAAATTGATTTTGTCCCAAACATAGTAAGTTCACATTAATTTAACTTAGCCTTTTTTTTTCTAACACCTAAGTTCAACTTAATAAGAACCATTTAAATCTAAATTAGGGGGAGCCTCATGCCTTCAAGCCCTACGTTCACCGTTACCATAATGCCTACAAAGCTTCAAAGAGCACTTCTCCTCTTTGGTACTCTATTAGACGTGCCTCTGCCCACATTATCGTCCTTTCTTCGTACTCCGCCTACGGTAATTAACATGCAAAACCGTTAAGATTTTGAATGATTTTGATCTTATTTTTTTTATAACATGTTATTCGTATCTTAGGCAAATACACACCTCAATACGTGTGGCTCGAGCAAGAGTTGAAGAAGGTGAACAGAGAAGAGACTCCGTGGTTGATCGTCATGGTTCACTCGCCGTGGTATAACAGTAATAACTACCATTACATGGAAGGTGAAAGCATGAGAGCAATTTTGAGTCGTGGCTTGTCAACAACAAAGTTGATTTGGTTATATCCGGACACGTCCATTCTTACGAAAGATCCCATCGTATCTCCAATGTCAAATATAACATCACCAATGGCTTGAGCTCTCCTGTGAAAGATCCTTCTGCCCCCATTTACATCACTATCGGAGATGGAGGAAATATTGAAGGAATCGCTAATAGGTAACAAACACACCATATTTATTTTCTTTTGTCGTTGTTATGGTGATATGAAACTAAGATCACGTTTTGGTTTTTATTTGTTTTTGTAGTTTTACTGATCCGCAACCCAGTTACTCAGCTTATAGAGAAGCTAGTTTCGGTCACGCGGTTTTGGATATTAAGAACAGAACTCATGCGTTATACACTTGGCATAGGAATCAAGACAATGAACCTGTCGCGGCCGATTCAGTTATGCTACATAACAGATATTTTTTACCGGTCGAAGAATTAGCATCCGGCAATGTCTAGGGTCTAAAGCTTCTTAGTTGTTCGGTTTTATTTAGATATTTTTCTTTCTTTTATTTTGATTAATTATTTGGTTTTGGGATATTCGGTGTTTTTTAATAAATTTATTTCAAATTTTAATTAAATTTTGTGTTGAACTTTACTCAAAAAATAAAAATGTCTCAGTCTCTCAGACCAATGTATTTCTTCGTGACAAAAAAAACCAAGGAAAAATAAATACATAATCATTATATTGGGTTTTATATACATAGGCTTCAAGCATAGTTGGGCTTTGTGATCCAATAAGGTTTTAGTGATCTACACCGTAAGAGGAAAGCAATGATATCGGCGGTTACGACGACACGCCTTGCTGTTTTCTTATTAGCTTAACTGACTCTGGAAACAAAAATTAAACAAAGCAAAAGCCCCTAGTGATCTTGCAAACAACGCGTTGTCCCATTGGAAAATAGGAAAACATCACGCTGTTTCATTCGAATTCGTGTCTCGCCGTCGGTAATGGCGAAAAAAGTCACCGATATCGTGAATCTTGACAGTGACAGTGACGACGATGACGGAGGAGGAGGAGGAAGAGGAAGAGGAATGGTTCAGAGCTTGGCATCACTGATGGAGAATCAGCAAGTTCCGGTCACTGATGCTGCGGCGGTGGCTCCTCGAGAAACCCTAGAATGCCGGAGTTTCTGGAAAGCCGGCGAAAACTATGTGATCCCTACCGGTGTTACTCCAACTGCTCCAGGTTATTATCTCTATCACTGAAGCTTCCACAATTATGGTTGTGTGGTGGAATTTGATGAGATGAAAATTGACAGGTATGCTTGAGCATGCTCGAGTTCATCCAAAGTTTCTTCACTCGAATGCTACTTCACATAAATGGGCTTTTGGAGGTAAAGCTTTGAACTGACTCTGCTGCAGCTATCAATTAGATAGAGTTGTGTTGTTTATTTGTACTCCTCTAAATAGTTCTGTGATAATCATATTTGTCAATTTGTTTTCTCCTTGTAATGTATTGCAGCAATCGCTGAGCTACTTGACAATGCGGTTGATGAGGTATGCGTGTGGAGTGAAATGCTTATATTAGCTTCTTTTTATTTTTCTTCTTTCTTTGCGCAATGCTTATATTGGTTATGTTTGTTTGCTTCTTCCTCAGACACAAAACGGTGCCACCTTTGTCAAGATTGATAAGATCAATATTGTTAAAGATAACACCCCAGCTTTAGTTTTCCAAGGTACACAGCCTTTGTATGAATTTTTTATGTTTTTGCCTAACCGTGACTCTGGATGTTGTCAGTGACATGATCCTTCTTTGTTTTTCACTTGAAGATGATGGGGGTGGGATGGATCCCAATGGGATTCGAAAATGCATGAGTTTAGGCTACTCATCCAAGAAGTCTAACACTACGATTGGACAGTGTAATTGTTATATTTTTGTTGATGAGACATTAATCTTCTTTCTAGTTAGGTACAAAAGTCAGGTCTCTAACTATAGTTCCACTTTTGTGTGTAGATGGAAATGGTTTCAAGACAAGTACCATGAGACTTGGAGCTGATGCTCTCGTTTTCAGTCGCTCAACTCGTGGAGGGTATTGATATATCATTATATCTGGTTCATATAAACTATGGATTTGGCGTATCCTCTTGTTTGTAACTTAACCATATTTTTTTATCTTCCTCGTTTTAGCAAATCTACGCAGAGCATCGGTCTTCTGTCTTACACATTCCTTAGGAGAACTGGTCAGGATGATGTGATTGTTCCTATGGTAAAATTTTCAGCATAGCTAGTCTTTTATATCACTCCTGAAATGAAATTACACTACAATATTTAGAAACTCAACAATCTGCAACTATTATTTGATCTCCATTGACCTTATCATATCTGCAACGCAGATTGATTTCGATATATCCAATGATCAGCCTCAACCAATTATTTATGGGTCCTCCGGAGATTGGTCTACCAACCTTAACATTCTTCTCAAATGGTCCCCGTTTTCAACAGTGGACGAGCTTTTGCAGCAGGTTTTTTCCTTCTCAAGTCTCTGGTTTGGTGTGTAATTTTAATGTGGCTTGTTTATTAATTCCCATACTTCCATTCTCCACCTACCAGTTTGAGGATATTGGAACACATGGGACAAAAGTGATTATATACAACTTGTGGCTTAATGATGAAGGAATTTATGAGCTGAGTTTTGATGACGATGACGAGGTACTTACACTTCTCTAAAGGGTCCGGTTTTTTCCAGAAGTTGGGTTAAAAAAGTATTGAAATTATCTTCTTTCCTTTAAAATATTTGGTATAATAGGACATACAGCTCCGAGATGAAAATGCCCAAGACGGGAAACGGTTGTACGCTAGAACATTAGAACTAAGATCTCATATCTCATACCGCTATCGACATTCTCTAAGGGTAATTCTCCTGAACATCCTCTTTCTATTTCTTTTGCTGTTGCAAGAAATTTTTAAAGGCTGACTTAGTTTCTTTATCCTTAGGCTTACATTTCCATGTTATATCTCAAAAAGTTCAAAAACTTCAAAATTATTCTTCGGGGAATCCCTGTGGAGCAATACAACATTGCTGACGAATTCAGACATCCTGAGACTATAATGTACAAACCCCAAGCAACTGCAGTGGAATATGTAATACAAACTAAGACTTTCTCTTTTTCTTTCTTCTGACTCGCTGGTTTTATATACATGGAGCTCCTGCTGTATTTTCATTTGCAAACATTAATCTATTTATATATATTTAGACTGTGAGACCTAAACCCCTAAGCTTTCTTATTACAGGCTGCCTCTGAAATAAAAATTGGATTCATCAAAGAAGCGCCTAAACTTCCAATTTGTGGTTTTAATGTCTATCACAAAAACCGTCTCATCCGGGTAAGTTTTAATAATGCAGCTATTTCTATGTTCTCAATCTCTAGAAGCAACTGTAGTAGTAAGTTTACTAGCATATTTCACTTAAGCTTCTGGCTTGATTAAATTGAGATTTCTCTTGCATCGTTACAGCCTTTCTGGAAGGTCATTCAGGAAGGGTCAACGAGATGCAATGGTGTTGTGGGTATAGTGATTTATATTCCAGATATTTTATTGAATATGGTTTGTTTTGGGTAAAACCCTGGAGAAGAGACTCATTAACCAAAATCTGTTCCCCAGGAGTTCTAGAAGCAAACTTCATAGAACCAGCCCATGATAAGCAAGATTTTGAGAGATCTTCTCTATTTCAGCGGCTGGAGGCAAAGTTGAAAAAGATTATCTCTGATTACTGGTCTCTTTTTCCTCTCCAAAACCTTTTCCAATCATCAGTTTATATTTTGTAATATGATTTTGGTTCCAAACTGCAATAGCTTTGTTTGACAATTCCACTCTGTTTGTAATGTTGAAAACAGGCAAAGCCACTGCCACATTTTCGGATACCAAACTCCTCAAATCCCTGCAGATAAGTCGAAGAGGATAGTGATACCTGATCCACTGCCAACTGTCAATACATCAAATCCTTCGCCTTTGCCTTCTGATAAATTTAGTCAAGGTGGTCCGATTATACGTGAAATCAGTATTAGTAACGCGACATCAAGCCGTACAGTTGCTGTTCCAGCGCCACATATGAGAAATTCCACAGGTTTAAGAAGTAACTTCCAAGGCGTGCAGCTCAACCCTCAACCTGCAGCTACCGTGAGTGAACTTAGTTGATGATGTAATTTGATTCAAAAGTTTTTTCTAAAGCTAAAAAATCTTGGCAGGATACTGGAAACAACCTCGTTGGCAAGTCAGCGAATGAGATAAGCGAAGAGAACTTACAACTCTTCATGAGGTATAGTTATATGCTCTTAACAAGAGGAAAACACATTACAGTATCATATCACTCTGGGTATCTCAATCGAATATTATGCTTCAACAGGTGCGACGAATATATAAAGAAAGAGAATGAAATAGAACAGACGGTAAGTTTGATTTTCCAGTACAAAATATTGCATGGACTCTAACGGAGGTATACTAACTTGCTTAATGAAACAGGTAAAGAGCTTGGAAAAAGAACTGGAAGAAATGAAAAGTAAATGTGCACAACTTGCTTTGCTTGTGGATGCTAAGAAGAAGGAGATGCAACAGCAAGTTTAATAAAACGTTTACAACAGAGTTTAGTTAAGTTTAGTTAGTTAATTAGTTTTAGGACATGGGCTTGTAACGTAATTGGGCTTTGTGGCCCGATTAGATACTAATAAGCAAAGCAATGATGATGATGATGACTGAGAAAAGACGTTTGACGTTTGCTTTTTCTTCTTGTCGAAGCTAAGAAAACATTTCAGTAGTTTAATCGGAAAAGAGAACGCGCGGTGTTCTTCTCATTGAATTCGAAATTCGTTTTGTCAAAATCGATTTCACCGTCGCCGGAAATGCTTCCGAAGTCGAAAAATGCAGTCGCTGATGTTATTAACCTCGACAGTGACAGTGACAGTGACGACGTAGTGGGAGGAATAGGAGCTTTTCGAAGCATGGGGTCGTCGGTAATGGGGAATCGGAAAGTTCCAAGTACGTTCGCGGATGCGACGGTGGCTCCTCGTGAAACCCTAGAGTGCCGGAGCTTCTGGAAGGCCGGAGAAAACTTTGTGATCCCTACCGGTGTTTCTCCAAATGCTACAGGTCATCTCTCTCTCCCTCTCTCTCTCGCTTCCTCACATATACACACACACGCATGCATCACGATTATGATTTGTGGTATTTGACAGGTATGCTTGAACATGCTCGAGTTCATCCAAAGTTTCTTCACTCAAATGCTACTTCGCACAAATGGGCGTTTGGAGGTAAAACTATGTGAATCGACTCTGTTGCAGCTACCAGTTAGATAGATTTAAGATTTTCTTACTCTTTCGAGGTGTAGAATGAACAATTTTGTGATGATCATCTTTGTCAATTTCTTTTCTTTGTAATGTATTGCAGCTATCGCTGAGCTACTTGACAATGCTGTTGACGAGGTATGTGTGAGGAGTGAAATGCTTTCTTTAAGTTTATGTTTTTAAGCATTGGTACAATGCTTGGTTATATCGAATTGCTTATGCCTCAGATACAACACGGTGCTACATTTGTTAAGATCGATAAGATCGATATTGCAAAAGATAATTCCCCAGCTTTAGTTTTCCAAGGTACTGCTTTTGTATGAATTTTTTATTGCTTTTACCTAACCGTGGCTTTGGGTATTGCCTATGATATGGTCTTTCTTTTCTTTTTCACTTGAAGATGATGGCGCTGGGATGGATCCCAATGGGCTCAGAAAATGCATGAGCTTAGGCTACTCGTCAAAGAAGTCTAATACGACGATTGGACAGTGTAAGTTTTTGACTTTGTTAATAAGATATTGAGCTTGTTTCTGGTTGGGTGGTCTTGGTGTCTTGGTCTCGAAAAGGCGGTCTCTAACCAGAGCTTCACCTTTCGTGTTTAGATGGAAATGGTTTCAAGACAAGTACCATGAGACTTGGAGCTGATGCTATTGTTTTTAGTCGCTCACACCGTGGAGGGTATTGATATATCTGGTACATTGCACACTCTGAATCTGGCATATGCTCTTCTTTTAACCTTTTTATCTATTCTGTTTCAGCAAATCTACTCAGAGCGTTGGTCTTCTGTCTTACACGTTCCTCAGAAAAACTAGTCAGGATGATATCATTGTTCCTATGGTAAAATCTTCAGCATTTGTAGATTTTATTTCATGCCTGAAATAAATGATTGTTGGAAACTCTAGAATGTGCAACTATTTTTTGTTCTCAAGTGATCAGATATGCAATGCAGATTGATATTGATTTATCTAAGGAGCAACCAGAACCAATTATTTATGGATCTCCAGAGGATTGGGCTGCCAATCTTGAAATTTTACTTAAATGGTCTCCGTTTTCAACAGAGGATGAACTTTGGCAGCAGGTTTAAAGTCAACTTATGAATATCTCATTGCATCACTTTTATTCCTTGATTGGTGTCCTAATGTGCTTCGGTTCCCTTAGATTCATTCTGAAGGTTATGATTCCATGTGAATGCGGGCTGTTTAATTCATTCGTATATTTCCATCTTCCACCTACCAGTTTGAGGATATTGGAACACATGGAACAAAAGTGATTATATACAACTTGTGGCTTAATGATGAAGGTCTCTATGAGCTGAGTTTTGACGATGATAATGAGGTAACTCACACATTCTTCATATGATATACTCTATGAGATATGTTTTCAGAGGTGTCTAAGGTCTAATCTTAATACTTTGATATTTGTAAAGGACATCCGGCTCCGAGATGAAGGTGTCCATGATGGAAAACGGTTGCACCATAAATTATTAGAACTAAGATCTCATATTTCATACCACTTACGTTACTCTCTGAGGGTAATCTCCTTAATACCTTCTTCCTTTTCTAATAATTTTTGTTCCAAGGATGTTTGATTCACTTTGTTAGCTCTTTATCCTTAGGCTTATGCGTCAATGTTATATCTCAAAAAGTTCAACAATTTCAAAATTATACTTCGGGGAAGCCCTGTGGAGCAGTTCAACATTGCTGATGAATTAAGAGTTCCTGAGATTATAAAGTACAAGCCCCATACCGCTACAAATGAACAAGTAAGATAAAATGGACTTCCCCTTCTTTTTTTCTTTTCTACTCTCTAGTTTTGTTGTGGAGCTTTGGCTACTTGATTTGCTATAAAGTACAAGCCCCGTAATGTTTGTGATTATCGTATGCAGACATTATTCTAGTTTTCTAGGTTTAGGTTGTGAGAAAAAAAAAAAACCCCAGTAAGCGTTCATGTTACAGGCTCCCACTGAAATCAAAGTTGGATTTATAAAGGAGGCGCCTAAGCTTGCAGTTTGCGGTGTTAATGTCTATCACAAAAACCGTCTCATTCGGGTACGCTTTCATATTGGAGACATTGTCATGATCAAAGAAGCAGCTGTAGTAAAATTGTTACCTTACAATTCATAGAAATCAGACTTGTAATACGAGAATGCAATCGCTTAATAGAACATCAAAAGATTAATTTGCCAGCATATTTGCTACTTAAGCGTTTTGTGTTGCATTAAGTTGAGATCTCTCTTGCACCTTTACAGCCTTTCTGGAAGGTCAATGCTGTAGGGGAAGCAAAAGGCAATGGTGTTGTGGGTACGATTATTCATTCTCCTTTGTGATTTCATGAACTATGTTTTGTTGGGGGTAAAGACCTGGGGGAGAGACTCATTAACCAGAATCTGTTCCCTAGGAGTGCTTGAAGCAAATTTCATTGAACCAGCCCACGATAAGCAAGATTTTGAGAGGTCTTCTCTATTTCTGCGGCTGGAGGCTAGGTTGAGAAAGATTGTCAATAGTTACTGGTCTCTTCTTCCTCTCCAAAACCTAATTCCGTCATTTTCTCAATATTTTGTCAAATATGATATTTTGGTTCCAAATCGCAATATCTTTGGTTGAGTATTCCACTGCTTGTCATGGACAAAAACAGGTATACCCACTGCCACGTTTTTGGATACAATACTTATAAAACGCCTGCAGATAAGTCGAAAAAGATGGCAATACCTGATCAACCACCTACTGTCAATGCATTCGATCCATTGCCTTTGCCTAATGATAAAATCAGTCAAGGAGGTCCGAGAACACGTGATCAACCACCTACTGTTAATACGTTCTATCATCTGCCTTTGCCTTCTGATAGAATTAGTCAAGGTGGTTTAATAATACGTGAAATCAGTCATAGTAATGCCACTTCAAGCCACACAGTTGCTGTTGCAGCGCCGCATTTGAGAAATTACACAGGTTTAAGAAGTAACTTCCAACCTGTGCAGCTCAACCCTCAACCTGCAGCTACCGTAAGTAAATTCGTTCAGTGATTTAAGTTTTATTCACAAGTTTAATAAAGAATTTAAAAACTAAAGTGAAACAATCTTTCCAGGATGTTGAAATCGACCTTGTTGGCAAGTCAGTGGACGAGATAAGCGAAGAGAACATACAACTCTTCATGGAGTGTGTACACTCAACATGAATAAATAAATAAAACTCAATTCAGTCTTACGTGTCGTTGGAATCCTAATCAATTGTGATGTGTGCTTTCTTCAAACAGGTGCGAGGAATATGCAAAGAAACTGAACTGGAACAGACGGTAAGTTTGATTCTGCGCTACAAAACGAGTCAAACATGTGTTTGTTACATCGGTTCTAACATTGATATATAACGGATAATGAAACAGGTAAGTAACTTAGAAAAAGAAGTGGAAGAAACTAAAAGGAAATGTGCACGACTTGCACTGCTCGTGAATGCCAAGAGGAGGGAGATGCAACAAGTTTAGTTTAAAACGTTAAGACTATCTTAGATCTAAAGGACACCTTAGTTTGATTTAAGATCTTATGATGTTTTTGAATTTACTTAATAGCATGCGCATAGATATTAGTAATTAGTATTGTGTGAATGTATTTGTCAGGATAACAGTTAGGATCTAACGCAAAGCCTCTGGAGACAGTTCTATATAAGGAATCGTAAGTTCAGATTGTATGAGCCAGTTTTGTTTCTAAGTTAAACTAAGACTTGATAAGAAGAAGTGGTCCTGTTTTGTTACACGCAAAAAAAGTAAGAATTCAATTTTAATTGAGTTTATAGAGTGGGGACACTTACAGAAGCCTAATAAGTCATGTTATCAGTATGTACCATTTCTTAATTTCATTAAAAAAAAGTTTCCATTAAGACGAAAACAGTCATTAAATGAGCAATGAGAGGAGGTAAAGGTGCAGTGGTGGTAAGCTAATAATTATTTGTGTAGTTTTTTTTTTGTTAGGGAAAACAGTTTGCATCCCAATTGGATTGAAAATGGATAATGAGTGTGTGAAGTGAAAAAATAAAACAGACAAATTCACATCATTACAATAAGATATGGACCGACCGACCAATCACTAATAAGGCATGGACCATAGTCAAAAATTCAACATCTATTGCCCTATTAGGTTACTGAGTGAGCCAAAATCCATACATAGCTCTTTTATTTTTACTTTATTTACAAATCCCATTGAGTTTTTTTTTTTTCTTTCTTTTTATTGAGGGTTTTTATTAAACTTTCCGGTTCTCACGTTTATACCATACTTAATACATAGTTTAGTAGTTTTACTGTTTTATAAATAGTTTTTTCTAAAAATATATAATGTGTATTATATAAATAGTTTTCATTTTATAGATGAGTGAAACGCAAATGAAGTATAATGCATTTAACAAACTATAAATATAATTTGTTTTAGTATGTAAAGACAGAATGTATCTGTATCCATCTATGATCTAACATCAAATGGCAATAATCTATCTAGGAATAACTAATAAATAAATTTTTGAAAGAAACACAAAGAAGGGTATAGTTTTTGAAAATGGAGATGGTGAATGGGATATTACTTTTAGACGTGGTGCATAACTATTATTCTTTTTTTTTAATATACAACTATATGGTTAGTTATTAGATATGGTTGATGTAGATATCCAATAGATGATAGATTAGACTTTTTGCTAAAAGACTCAAAAATATGCGATGTTATTATCAACCAAAAGCCACATTTAAAGGCTGAGAAAATGACAGCCACTATACATTTATAATATATAAACAATTTTGCTTCTCATTATTGTCTCGTCGTTCTTAGTTATTCCTCCATATGCTCCAGTGTACTCCTTTCATGAAGCAACCATCCCATAATTAATAAGACCTTCTAGAGAGAATACACTTGCCATTGTCCCGGCGTCTTTTGTTTTCCACTGTTCACGTAGATATTGTACTTCTTCTTTTAATGTATTAAAAGTTGACTATTATAGTTATAGATTTTCGTGGCTTTCGTTTCTTTGGTTTCTAGTTTCGTAGTTTGACGATACTTTTTTGGGGTTGATCTCATCAGTAAGCGACGAGCCAACGACAATCTCAGCTTTTATTTGGCTTATTACATTACATCCACCCCCAAAGCAACAATATTATTCATATGCATGAAACATAAAAAGAAAAATAAAGAATTTAAGGAAAAAAACAAAAAACAATAAAAGAGATCAGAGAGAGTCAACGCAAAAGGAGAAGAAGCAAAACACAGAGCCACACACACACAGGGCTCGAGAGGAGACCTCTCGACATGTTTAAGGGACAGACAGCGAACGACACTGAACGTCTTCTTCTCGGGCCTCTCCCACTTATCATTCCCTTCCCCCACTTCCTTCGTTTTCTTTTTCTTTTCCCCTTATTTCTATAAATAATGATAGATTTCACGGTTTCTATTCTTTCCAAAACCTTCGGACTGGACACTAAGACCAACATTATTGCAAGACTCTTAAACTCTAAAATGGGTATCTTGTAACAGTATTTTGTATCTAATATATTAGATACAAAATACTGTTACAAGATACCCATTTTGGGGTTTAAGAGTCTTGCAATAATGTTGCTCTAATCTTGATCTGTCTGTTGATAAGCCGATTTATTAACTTTATTCTTGAATTTTTAGAATTCAAACTTGCTACGGTCTTATGATCAAGCGGACGAGGTCCATTCTATTAATTTATCCAAAAGAAAATACCAATAGAAAAAAACAATGTACCTGATTGTTTCTGATTCGATTCGGAGGTGACAGCACTCATTTAATATTGAGCCAATTTTAAAACTGAGAGATCGTTTTTTTTTTTTTTTGGATCTTAGCTTTTTGGATTGGTCTGCGACAACATCTTTAGTTGTAGAATCCTAGTTGATGAATTAAAATTTAAAATCTCTAACAAAGCGTCTTTATTTCAGATAACGAATATTAGATACAAGAAGGGAACATTAAATAATACGGATAACATAGAATTCTTATGAAAGTAATACATTACAAAACTGTATCCATACCATCAACTTAGGAAAACATAAAAGAATATACAGTATGATAACTTAGGAAATACGTGCCTTGATGTCAAAGAAGAAAAAAGAAAAAAACATGCGATGTCGCACGATCATAAAGTCATAATAGTTTTACCATGCTACAATATATCGATCAAAACCATCATTGAGATATTTGATGCGAGTTGTGATTAAAAGAAGGAAGAAAAAGTATTTCGCGTGATATAAACATAACTCATAGTTTTTGTATCCTACGTAGGTACTCTATAGAGAAAGCAAATTGAAATCTTTCTGATTCGAAAATATTTTACATTATTTTTTTGTTAACCAAAGAATTTTGAGCCTTCAACCTATAATTTATTTTTTCTTTTTAGCCAGAGAATAAAGTAAATTCTTTTTTCCTCGTTGTCGGTAAAGATTGGAACTCAGAGCGTGATCATTCTCTCCCAAAATTAACTAACGACACCAAGTTTTACATTAGGATTCTTTACATTATTCACAGTACGTGAAAATAATTAAAAGAATACGTCGGCAAAATAAAGAAAAACAAAAATAAAGGAATACAAAAAAGTACACGTAGGTGGCGCAGTGTTCCCTTGTATAGCCACATAGAGTCCAAAGAGTAACATGCTTTTTTTTTCTTCATCTTTACTCACTTTTTAAAAAAATAGTAAATACTTCTTTAGCTATACAAATCACTCTAATAACGTATATTATATTAATATAATCATTTGTTACGATCAATAAAAAGAGAGCCTCTTTTTTTCACTGCCCCGAATCTCTCTGTTTCAATAAACTATGACCATATAAACTATCCCATGGTCATGGTGAATGAATAAGAAATTCACCAAATCATTGATTTTCATTTTTCAAGTTAGTGGGAAAAAAGTAAGCATATATCTTCTATCCGTTTCCTTAATCGAAATCAATCCAATTGTAATTATCATTATATATTTTGCTTTATTGGAGCAGTAACATAGAATAAAGTAATGATTTTTTTGTTGGCAAGTTTAAATCATAGAAGTTAACTAATTTTTGTTGACAAAAATATAAAATAAATTATGCACGTAATACTACAATTTTTTAGTTTAGTACGTGTATTTTATTGTTATATACTTCCTCTGTTTCAAGTTAAGTGATGTTTTAGCATAAACTTTTTTTATATTTTAAGTAATGTTTTTAACTTTTTATGCAAAAAATGAATATGTTTAATATTTTTGACCAATTATATTTTATATTTTATTTTCTAATTGGTTGAATTCATTTTAACTTATGATGTTTTTATAGAAATAAGAAAAATTATATATTTTCTTAATATGTGTATAATACCTTTAAACATCACTTAAAATGAAAGAGAGAGTAGTTTGTTAAATTCGGACACTAGTGACATATTTCCAATTTTGTTTTTCAAATTTTGTTTTATATATATATATATATATATATATATATATATATATATATATATATATATATATT